AGCTGCCAAGGAGCAATGTACATACATCAGCACCATGTCACCCCTGCCTTATCACCAACATAAGGAAAAAGTTCTCTTTCTGGACACCCTGTACAGCTGTTAAAAAAAAAAAAAGCTCCTTTTGAAAACAGTCCCTAAATGCTCTCACAGAGGACTCTGTCTCCCTCCAGTGACTATTGAGTATCTACAGCGAATAGCTCCTCAATTGTTTAAACTTAGGTGGCTTAAGTGATTCCCCCAGGTTAGAAAACCAGATCGAACCTGAAGTCATCTCAGCTGACTTTTTGTGTCTTCTAGGATGTAGATTTTCACATGAACCTACACGGCTCTTACTGATGTGCCAAAATACATCTTTGAGGCAGGATAGCAAGGCTTAGCACTTCCCTTCATTTATACTGGTGGCATCCTTTGTCCATCGAAGATTTGAGCCTGCTTTTGACAAATGCAAATACTCCTAACAAATCTTTCCATTTGCATTTTTCCCTCCTTCAGAGAAGACCCCTTCAGTATATTTCACCCCATAAATCTGTTTAAGTCAAGGAAGCAACATTTTTTTTTTTTTAATATACACTTATGTACCTGACTTAGGCTTTCATTTTCCCCAGCATTCAAATAGTTTTTAGGGTGCTTTCCAATTTTCTGGTTTTAAAGGCAGATCTCAGAATGTGTGAACATGAGGGAGTATCCTGGTTTCAACACACTGTTCCCAAGTTGTACAAAAATGCAAAACAATATTTCTGCACACACTAGTTCGTTATCATCGTTTGAGAACAGATTAGTCTTTTTTTCAGCAATCTCAAGACAAGACTTACTGTTTAATTGCCTGTAGATGCTCAAAGAGGCTATTGATTTTCCAAAACAGCACCACTCTGCAGGTGGCTGCAATCATTGACACATGGTGCACACAAAATTACTGACCTAAGTCAAAACTGGAATACACTCTAAGACTCCCATATAACTCACCTTATTTCTCTCTAGTCCAAATATTATACATCTGCAGCTGCCAGTTGTAGGGATTTTTTTGTTTAGTTTCAAATAGTTGATAAAATATTGGAAAGAAAGAGCCATCAATTGATCAATAAGAATCCTGTCATGAAAACACTTATTTGGGAGTTTTTTACACCAGTTTTTGAGGTCTACTGGTTGGCCAGTTCCTAAGTGCATTGCTAAATCAAACTGCACTTTTGCTAAATCAAACTGCTAAATCAAAGTGCAGACCTGCAATTACTTTTATCAGCCAACCCTGTTGTCTTATAATATTTCATAAAACTGTTACTTGACACTAGTTGTGCTGTATCCTGCAGTTTCTTCTTACTTAATCATACATCAATCTCTTCACTATGCTTTGTCTGATGATAAATTCGTTATTTTTTTTGTCCTGTGTAACATGATGTTATAAAAAATTAGGACTACCCATAAAGACAGAACTTTATCACAAGTGATTCAGGACTGTCCTTGGTACCTTTGTAGAGTAGAAAAAGGGTTGTTACTGGTAATAATATACATCTTTTGAGAAACAAAAATTAATTGTAATCCCCACCAACTAAAAATATTGCTGCAAAATGGTCCTGAGTAGCTTCAATTAGGTACAGCATCTACCAATTTTGCCTACATTTTCATTCTCTCCTTCAAATTGTGGTCTGGATTTGTTGTTAAGCAAAAAAACTAAGAGACTTTATAGCTATTACTATAGTTATTCCTAAGAGGTGAAACTGCATCATTCAGCAATAAATCACTCAAAAGACAGAGAATTGGAACTTTAATATTAAGTGAGCTTCTGGTGACAAGACAAGCAGATGGCTCTTTGCGTTACCTAACACTCAAAAGGTGATAGTCACGATGCTGATTCTGTTTTCCATCAGCTGGAGGATGCTGAAAAAAGTACAGGTGCATCACCCAACTTACCTTCTGCAGGTATATTTTCCTTGAGGAAACAATCGCATCAGGGAACTTCAAGGCACAACACTTTAGTTTTTAATCTGACATGTTCTTCAAACAGGTAAATTACTACAGAGAGCCTTCAGTGACCTTACGAAAAAGTGGCAATTTTTACACTTAGTGTATATGCTTTCCATCCTTCTTTGTAGCAGAGAAACAAGGTTATGCAGAGTGTTTTCATATGAAGTGGGATTTATCTTGTCTGTCTCTCTTTGTTCTCACTATCCAAAGCCAAGATCTTACCGTTCATCTTAATTTTCATAGTAAACTAAATTTACTACTTTCGATATAAAAGAATGAGAAAAAAAAATCCTTACTCAGTGCTATTTCTATTACTCTAATCCACAAAATTCAGTGGATTTCATCATGTTACAGACATATCACTGAAGAAAATTGCCATTTTTCTCAACTAATAGGGAGCAGTATTTTTCCATTCAGTTTACTGGGGGGAAGAAAAAAAACTTAGTGGCAATGGGAATTATGGATATTACAGACTTTCTGTTGCTAAAGATGATCTTATTGTCTTAGTACTAAGAGTCCATCACATTGGGAGTAGCTGGAAAGAAATGTTAAATACACACCTTCTAAGCAAGAACAAGCCAGAAGGTATAGCAGCCTCAGAAATGGGATTTAGGAAGAAGACAAGACATGGTCTTTAAGACAGAGGCAGATCAAGGAGTGTGTAATTCTTAAGGAGAAACCTATCAGTAACTGAAGATAGATCCATCAGAGCAGACAAGATGAATGTTGGCTTAATTAGTTGGGGTGGCTGTAGGTGAGGAGGGAGGCTGTGAGCAGTTCACCAAAGAAACACAATATTTTGTGTAAGAGAGCAGAAGGGTGATCAGAGGACAGGTGTTTGTGATCTATTTGAGACAAAAAATCTGAGTCACCTCTGCCTTCCAGACAAGAAATCCTGTGCTGAATGATAAACGAACATGAGATATTAACCTACCAGTAGCAAATGTGAAAATCATCATTTGGACAATTCAGGAGGGAGGGTTGTTGTTGTTGCTGTTAAATGGCTACAATATGGTGGGAAATAGGGAAAACTTGCCTTGGTCGCCAGGACAATAAGCTGAGGGAAGGAAAGCTTTATAGGGAAATATCAACAGTTAATCTTGACCTGAAAACCTAACCAGCAGTAGCATCGGAAAAGAATGGAAAACATAAGAGGACATTGGGAGGAAAAAAGGGTTATCATATGCCACATCCCTCTTTTGGCAGCACAATGGAGGAGGTTGCAAACAAACCAAGATCTTACATGATGAGTAGTTGCTTGTGATGAACAGATCAGTAATTGTGAGTTATTAGAGAAAACTATGTGGTACGTACTTGGCTGAATCACTGATTTCTGTTGCTGAAGGGAATCAGTGTCCACAGCTCACTCAATCTGTGCCACCAGCAGACCTCCTTGAGTTGCCATCATTGCTGGAAACCCCAAAAATGTCAGGGACAATCCAGATCCTGCCATTCAGTCCCTCTAAATCTCACACTGGCATATTGTGTAACGGTACTGAATTTCATCAGTGAAGGGAGACCACTGTCCTGGTGTCAAGAACAAAACCATTCAAAATAGAAATTAAGGACTCTTCAGGGATGCCTGAACAGCTCAGTATTTTATCCCAGTCTCATTTTAAAATAGTGAGATCAGCCTATAAGGGCAATGTGTGTAGTAGTAAAAGCATATGATGGGGTAAAAAACACCTGTCTGTACAAAGGGTAACTTTTCTTCATTTTTCCCGTTACTAAATAAGTAACAGAACAATCTGTTTAAGTCAGCACTGTCTTTCAGTAGTGCTGCCTATACTATAATGTTTTAATTACTCCTTTAGGGAAAATTGCTACTAATATCATAACTATTTGACTACCTGGTCTTTCCCACTTGTAAGCAAAAACTGCAAGTATAGTTTTATGTTTTGTTTTCTGTTTTTTACTTAGTCACATTTTCTTCCTCTGTTTTATAAGTTGATTTGTTTTTAGTGGCAAATGAGGGAGACAAGTGGTCCCTTTTAGGAAATTGGAAGATTATGTTTGTTGTTAAAAATGGGGTTTTAAAAGGAAAAAGTTGTATTTTTCTAGAGTATAGGTGCTTGTTTCTTTTAATCTCTACTGGAAATTTGATAGATATTATTTGCAACCAAAAAAGTAACATTTAAAAGAATACTCAGTGTACACTCCAGAGAGTGAATAATTGTTGGTTTCTGGCCTGCCAAATATTTGTCAATCTGAACTGTAGCAAGCATCAGTAAAAAAGTAAACTTAATTTTAAAATTAATTATAAGCAAAAAAGACAATTTAATTGTAATTGTGTTTAAAATTCTTCTTTCTTTTTCTGAAGATAATTCCATTAACAAAAGCGTTCATTTCTTCACAGCTGAAATATGGTGTTATGAGTCTTTTTGACAGACTCCTACTTTCCCATTGGGGATCAATCTCAGAAACAAACTTCTGCTCTCACCCACTTCACAAAAATCACAAAATGTCTTATCTGAATTTTTACATGTGTGCTTATTAAATTTTTTAATCTTGTAAATGTTTGCAAAGTGAATGTATTACCTTAGAAATCATTATAGTTACAGTCTGCCTGTGCTTCTCAATGCTAGTCCAGTGTTGTGGGTTGTACTTTTGGGACTGAAGCTCCTCTCTTGCTTTGGGGAAACTTAGTGGAAGTCTTGTTATTGCTTATGCCCCAAGTCAGGAGGCTTCACTGCAGTAAGAAAAGCAAGGATCTACTAAGATCACCTCTGAGTTAGAAAGTAAAGCTCTCAGGGTGACAATAGGCCGTAAGAATCATAGCATTACATCTGTATGGGGCAGCAAACCTGAATACATTTTGGGTCTACATTTTAATTTTAAAAATACATGACCTCAGTATTGCTCAACATTTTAAAAAGCATTTTAGTCCTAAAAGTGTAAAAAAATGAAAGGAAAGAAAAGGAAATATGAAGTTAACTTTGATATTTCATATTTTTTCCCCTATAATAAGGTCATTTATTTGATTAGTGATTAAATCCATTACAAAAATAACAGTGGTGTTGTTACTGCATCTAAGAATGGAGGAGGGAGTAGGCAGCTCCAAGCCTTAAAAAAACGTTCTGGTATCTAGCACCTAACACTTATGTCTACTGCTCTGGACACTGCAGGAAAAAAAAGTGTAGTTATTTCTATTCGTTTCTATCTTGCTCTCTCAAAATTGTCCAACAGAGAACAGATTTTTAATTTTGTTTTATTAATTGTATGATGGGCATTTAGGCAGTGTTGAGGACAAGTAACTGAGCATCTAGCCATTATATTTAACAACTGTCCAACATGAAGTCACATAAGGAGACTTTTGTATGCATCTCTGTGAACTAAAAGCTAGCCCAGAAAATAATCTTGATTGCAACCATCTTTAGGCCAATGAAAGATCATTTGATTTTCAAGTATTTAGAGCTTTATTTTCATTGCACTTCTGCATGTCAGTTGCTGAATACCAGATAAAACATTTTTCATGTTTATAAGTTTGTCTGAAAATTCATGCAAAACAAAACAAAGTTCCATGATATTTTAGAAAGAAAAATTATTTTTCCCCATGTTCCGGATAAGTAATCACAAGCAAAGCAGAAGAAGGACTTTGTGGGAAGCAGAGCCTGGCAGCAGAAACAAGACTCTGATTCTTCATCACAGTCACAATGAAAACAGCTTTGAATGGGTCAGCTGACACTGAAGTAGCAGTTTTCTACCAATGTCCAAACTTGCTGGTTTTACTCTCAGTAGCAACAAAACTCTGACACTGAGAGGGGTCTGTTAGGCTCAGTAAAGCTAAAGTCCACTAATAAACATGCATTTCCCTTCAAGAGTTAGTTATTCTTGGGCTTTCTGATGAGATTTGGTGACCAATGAGAAGAGGGATGGCTGCTGGGAACTTAATCCTCGAGTTATGCTTCCTGAAGAAAACTTTCACCTACAGAGACCAAACTGTCTCCTCTTTCTCTGGACAGTAGAACCTCCGTGAGGATGTGTGGGGCAGGATAGGGAAGACCAGGGAGCATCTGCCCCGGCTGGCAGAACTGCTGCTTGCCCCTAACAGAGGATAACATAAAATTATAAAAATAAAATTTTAATACATAAATAAATAGATAAATAAAACCAAACAATGAAACCACCAAACCAAACAAATGCAATAAAACCCACACAACTCCCAGCAAACATGTATAAAAAACCAAACAAACAAGCAAAAACCACACACACACACACACACACACACACAAAATCACCAAAAAACAAACACAAATGTTCTTTTCCACATTGCAGGTGATTTTTCACGTCCATGTCATGGACATGTTTTTCAGCCACCCTCCTACCTGCACACCCATGTTCAGTGTGACCCACCTCCTTGGCCTCATTCCACCGCATTTTCTTCAAATTTTCTCCCCCCTTCCCTTTCCTCCTCCCCTCACCCTTTATAATTTTTTTCCCTTTTTCCCTATATTTCTCTTTGGCCACTGGTTGCTCCAGAGGGACCCACCGCATTTACCTTAAAAAACAGGAAGTGTCCTTTATTTTTCAGACTTATTCTGATTCGGTTTTTTTTTTTTTTCTCCCGCCTCGCCTTCGCACACCTTGTCTGTACTGTCACTATTTTTCCTGCCTATTCTGATGTTTACCTGTTTCTTGGTTCTCGAGGCAGCGGGAAGGTGGTGCGGGATGTCCGAGGGAGCGGGAGGATGCACTGCGTGTGAGGAGCGAGGCGCTTCCGTGCGGCACCGCCTGGGGGCGCCAGCGCCTCATCACATCACCTCCGTCCCTCCTCGAACACCCCTATCCATCCTCGATCCCCGCTTCCCTCTCCTATCCCCCCGTCCCTCCTGGGTCCTCCAGTTCCTCCTCGGTCCACCCGTTTCTCCTAGGTTTCCCCCGTACCTCTTCGATCCCCCTGCGTCCTTCCCGCCGCTCTCTGTCTCTCCGGGCTCGGCAACAACCCATGTACCGACCGGCGGTGAACAGTGGCTCCCAACGAAATGGGGAAGGGGGCACCGAAGGGACACACCAAGTCTGACCCTTCCTCCCTGTCTGTCCGTCCTACCGTCTGTCCGTCCGTTCTGGGGAGAGGGCACCGCTCCACAGGTTGATTTCTTTGTGCTTTCTCTTAATAATAATGCTAATGAGGATTATTAATAATCTTATTTATCATGGTAAGAATAACAGGTCTAATGTAACATACTATTTGAGGGTTGGGGATTTTGAAATTATGTTTATCTCTCCGGAGGGAGAGAGGAGTGTGCATCCATCCGTTCAGAGCAGCTTGGAAAGTAGGCAGAAACCCTTATGCCGGGATGAAAAACCGGTATGAAGGCGTTTGGAAGGGGTGGGTGCGTGCAAAAGCGGGGTTTGTAGTTGTTATTTTCCCGAATGCTGGAGGTTTTACTCCGGTGAAGTTCGCTGGTGGTGGCAGGGCTGGCAGGGAGTCCCCGGCGGAGGCGAAGAAGCGGGGGATTCTCCATCGTCCTGTCCACGTGTCTTCTCTGGATGGCGCTGTCTCCTGCCAAACCACACCAAAGAGAGTTTTCCCTGATCTGGAGGTGTGTCCCTACGTCCTACTCTCCTTCCCGTTCCAGTTTTGGGCAACCTACCGGTGAGGAACAGGTTGTTTTTTTCTGGAAGTAGGAGGAAAGAGGCCATGTGCTGCTGGTGCCTGGAGAGAAGCTGTCCGAGCAGAACGAGGAGGCTTCCTCATCTGGCAGAGACTACGGCTGGGAACCCTTCCTCAACACTTCTTTGCGTTTGGTGACCTAAGGTCTCCCTTCTGACCAATATCTGTCCCCAACAGCAGAGCCGCAGAGCTCAGAGCACCGCAGGTTACGGGAGTGTTTGCAGCACCACAGGGACACCTACCTGCTCCCTGCCGTAGTGGGGATTGCAAGTTTGCTCCTACACAATGTTGATTACATCTCCTGGTGGGCCCCCGGCAGCAGATCCACGATCACTGTAAGCTGAACCACTCCTTAACTTCCTCGGTCTTTATCGAGTCTAGTTGTTCATTTGGGAAAAGAAAAAAAAGAAAGCAGAAAGAAGAAATAGAAAAGGGAGGGGATGGGACAGGAGAGGAGCTGACGGGACGAGCAGAGAAAATAGTGATCTTTTTTGAAGATTTATGCTGTTATTCCTACACTTCTTAAGGAAAATTATCACCTTTAAACGTACCTGGAAAATGTACGCACACACATTTAAAAAGTAACTCGTTATCCTCCGATGGAAATAACGATCCCAACTGAAATGGGTCGGCGGACTCAGGGAAGAACCGCCTAATGCTCCTCCCATCCTCACATACCAGGTTGGGATGCGCCGGTTGGTACCTTCTCAGCAGGAAAACCCCCACCTCGTTTTTGAGGTCGGACAGGTTCCCAGCTCCCCTTCCTTACCCACACAGAAACCGGAGATACCACCGTGTCCCTGCCGCCGTGTGGCTCCGAATTCTCCAGTCTTAGAATCACAGAATCTCAGCATCATGGAATCATAGGATAGTAGGATGGTTTGGGAGTGAGATGTCACCCAATTTTAAAGACTTCAACTCAAACCTGCCCAGCCAGAGCATGTTCAGAAGTTCTCAGAACTTCTCGGTTTATTACCTAGACACACTTTTATAATAACACGCCACTCGGACCTTAAAAAAAAAAAAAAAAAAAAAAAAAAATTCCAGAGAATGCAGCAAACTTTCTATCCTCGTTTTTGAGACAGTCCTCAGTTCTTCGGCCGAAAAAATGTCCCCTCCCCTAACGGAAGTTTTGACTGAACAGCAGCAGCAGGACTGAAGTCTACCTTAAGTTATTTAAATAACTAAAACAAAACAATACATTTAACACTTACGATGTACTTGAAGAGATTTTACCTGGTGAAGAGGAGGATGAAGTGTGCCCTGTTTAAAGCCATATTCTCTTCAGGGAGTGCCACGAACCGACCGAGTATCCCGATCCCATCTCTCACTGTCTGGACAGGCAGTTTTCAGAGTGGCCTACTGTTTTGCTCAGCAATGCAGGTGTATTATTCGCGGTGAGAGTTTTAGGGAGAGAAAATCATTAGTGGAAAGACCTAAATATAATCAAGCGTTTCACTTGGCCCGAATAATTAAGCAGGATTTTAAGTGTTTCGTCCCCTATTGTACGGCTTCAGGCTCTTGGCAAGACTTTTTCATCTGATATTTATGTTCCATACAGGTGCACGGCTGGAACTCTAATAAATTCGGGAGTAAACAATTTTAAATTGATCAGATTCCTCCACCCCCCCTTAAATTCCTTTAAAAAATCTGGATATAGCTTGCCTTTACCTGCCATATATTTATATGTAAGTTTAACAAGGGATGAATTTGAGAGCTGCATTTTAAAACAAGCAGCCATACACCTTTGTAACTTGAACAACTGAGCCAAATTACCCCCTGTTAAAAATCGGTTACACGGATTTCAATGGTTTTAAAACCAATTTAATGATGATTTCATGTCTAATAATTCACTTTTTATCCCACCTGAATTCTTAGAGATCCGCAGCAGCTGATGCTTATCATCACTGGAGCTGACCTGCCCAGAAAGAGCTTAACTGTTTTCTGAAGTTAACAGCAATTTTTAAGAAAACCTAATTGGGAAAAAAAAAAAAAAAAAAAAAAAAAAAAAAAGGCTCTGACGTTGTCAATATATCCAAGAACTACTGAAGAAGAATAAACCTGAGTGTAAGTGTGTCTGGAAAGATGTAGCACCAGAAAATGGATGATCTATACGAGAAAGTGAGTACAGTAGCAGTAGTTACAACCAGGGTAAGGAAAAAAATTGCAGATTCAGGAAGTTTCGTGTTAATTTTTGTCTACTTCGGGTAGTGGCACATTACAGTAAGGATATGCAGACCATTGTTCTGATACCAACTCTTCTTACTGTGAAATGAAGTCAGTTCTAATACATTTTAGTTTCTGTTTTGAGGATAAATAAATTGAAAGGAGAATATTTCTGCAGTTATTGGAATGAACATTAATCGAAGGATTTTATTTAATAATTTAAATAATAATTCACAACATGCTCTGACTTACCTATTTTTATTTATTATATTAATCATTTTATATAAAACCAGAATGGTTAGAAACTAAAGGCAATTTGTGAACACAGTATAGGATGCTTAAAATGTCTTTTCTTTTTCTGTTTATGCCAAAGAATCAAGCAATCTGGTTTTAAACATACTGTAATTCTTATTAGTTTAATTCGGTATTATTAGCACAATCTCTCATTACTTTTTTTGGGTTTTGGTATATACTACATAAAAGATATAAACATCTTGAAACACGTTGACAAATATTAGTATTGGCTCATTTTCACTCTGTTTAAACACGAAACTTGAATAACCCCATAGAAACCACAGCCTGGTTCATGCTATACGGCAAAACATACTTTACCCTCATTTGCACTATAGAGGGAAGAAAGTTTAGAATGATGCTATCTCTGGCATGCAAATCGTGTGCAAGTCGTGACGGATGTCGCAGTCACAACCGTGGGATTGTACCTGCCGGGTGCCAAAACTTTTCGACAAACCATTGAGAGAAAATTTCCAAAAAAAGGTCTGACCAAGGAATGAGTGGGGCAGTGGGTGAAGCTGTAGCACTGGAAGTTTCAAGGGGATCTGAGGCGAGACCCCTCGACCCCAGCCGGACCCCAGGTCGGACACAGATGTGGTGCCCTGGTAACGGGGCAGGTGCCGCTCACCGACCCCCGGCTAGCGCCGGCGCTCCAGCAGCGATGCACAGACACCTTCTGTCCGAACCCACTGCCCCCCTGGGGTGCTGCCCACCGGCAGAGCCCACCCTCCCCGAGAACGCTCTTCCCCCCGTGCCCTCTGTCTCCTCCGGCCCCGCCGCCAGCCCCCTTTCGCAGAGGCCTCTTAAATTAACCAGCAGCAGCAGTAGGAATAATGATGATAACAACAACCAGAGGCGGCCGGGAGGACTATGCCTGGTGCATGGAGAAACTTTCCCACCCCAGCTGCCAAAGCACCCGAGACCCGACAGTCCCGTTCTCGGAGTGGGACGCGAGCTGCCCCAAACTCGAGCACCGCTGGACCCTACAGGCTGAGCCCCGAACCCTCACCCTGCCCGACCCGGATCCTGAAGAATGGAGGACCCCCTCACCGCAAGACGTGTCCTCGTCCCCCACAGCTGTCTGCCTTGGGGCGGGAGCGGGGGAGGTAAGTAAGTGGGAAATACCGAGCGAAAAGCGAGGAGGGAGCCAGTCACCGTCCGATGAGGGGCAGCTTTCGTGGCCGCTCCCCTCTCTCCACCACCAACCTCGTCCCCGGCCCCTCCGCCGCCTTTTCTCTTCTTCACACCCGTCCTAGTGGGGCTGGGAGAAGTCTCTATCGGGCTCCCTTTGAGTGACGGCGCCCAGCGGGCGGCTGCGGAGCGCGGATAGGAGGGAACGGGGTGAGTACGGAACAGGGGTGTCTCCGGGAAGGGACGTGGGGGAAGCTTCGTGCAGTCCGGCCGTGCCGTTCCACCCTGAGGATGGAGAAGCGTGTCCGGTGTTGAGGGTGAGGCAGTGCGCCGTCCTCTCTCCGACCTTCATCTCTCGACCTCTTGTAATAACGAGGGAGGTTATACTTTGGTGTCCGGGCCGAGTGGAAAGAGGGGGACTAGCCAGGAAGGCGTCCCTTTAGGGAGAGGGGAATCCTCCGCCGCTCTCTTTTATCTTTAGCACCCTCATGCTCCCTACTTTCTTACTGTCAGTGACCAGTCTTATTCAAGTGAGAGGAAGCTATTGGATTTCAAACCTGATCAGCTGACGTGGGTTTGCCCATGGGCTCATTAAGCACATACACACGCGCGGGTGTTCGTGGGGTACCCGCACGGCGCTGCCTGCACCCTGACCATCGGGCTGCACAGGCACAGGGGTTAGGGAGCGGGGACAGGCCTGGTGAATGCCCCTCGGGATGAAATGAAAATCAGTGGGGTAGGAACGAGGTGATGAGGTGCATTCCCGGGATTGTGTGGGGTGCGACGGTCTGTACTGGAGAGGGTATAGGTCATAGCCTGTGCGAGAGGACAAGGTACAGGTCTGTATTCTCCCGCCCAGTGTCCTTTCGGGGATGTGAAAGAGACGGAAACTGAAATCCTGTAAGGGTAGGGGGAAATGGTTTGACTACCCTGTACAAGCAGGGCCCGCTACACAAACGCGATCCCCGGTCAACCCTCCCCAGGTCTCGCAGCGTGGAGGCTGAACGGCGAGCTGGTGTCCGCTGCGCATCCTTAACTCCATTTCTTGATTCTTCTTGTGGAAGATGGGGAAGACAGGAGCGGGAGTGGGCTGGCAGGGCAAGGGGCTCTACGTGCTTGCCCTGCTCGACGCGCCGGGGAGGTGATCCCGGAATCCCTACCCCCTATACCGGGGCCAAGGGTTTGAGCTGGGAGACCTCTGAAACTTTTTGTCAACAAGCATCAAAACGGTGACGTTTTAATGAGGGTGCTGCGGTCCCGGCTCGGGGGGGTGGGTGCTCCGACAGCGTGGGAACCGGCTCCAGTAGCGCCGTCCGTCTGTCCTCTGTCCGTCTGCAGGGCGCGGTGCAGCGGGGAGATGCGATACCGACAGCCGGGGAGTGAGACGCTGACGGCGACATGGTATCCAGGGGCAAGGATGAGTGTCAAAATAGTCCTCAGCCGTTTCGGGTGTTACTGGGACAGAAAGACAACATCCTAACCAGAAGGACAGGTGGACAAAGGTCGCCGCCGCGTCTCCTCCCCTAGAACCTCCTCAACCCATAGGGGTTCTGTCGTTCCTTTTAATCCTTATTTTTAAACCGCCCCGAGCAAGACCGGCGCTCAGATAATCTGCTCGGTCCTTGGGCTGAGATACCTTTGCTCAGAAGGGCACCTCGAAATTGTTATCTTGGTGAGCGGAGGACTAATTTATGCTCAGGTTTTACTACCTGGGAGATGAAACCGAGTTTCTGTGTGTTTGCCTCAGTGCGCATCGCTGGGACACATCGGTACCAGCAGTACAACAGCTAAAACACGCGAGAGGTAGGCATGTCACGCGTGCTTTTGTAACAGCATATAGCCTTCACCCCCCTTTTAAATTAAAATATTTGATGGCCGTGCGCCCACAGCCTTTTCTCAGATAAAAATAAAATTCACCTTTTTTTTTTTTTTTTTTTTGTCGGAGAAGAAGAAATAATCTCCTGAAGGTGCAGAAGAAAAGTCCTCTGAGACACAGCATAACAGAAGTTACTCTTCTGCCTGCTCTCAGTCTGTTGATATACCAGACAACGAAAAATTCCTAAAAGGAGATCAGGAAAATTTATTACCGAATCACACCAACTTGGAGGAAGCTCGGCTAATGAACTAACAAAACAAAACAAAACAAAAAAAAAATACGGGGAGGAGGAAGAAGGAGTGGTTAATCCAACCAAATGTAACCTCCAACTTCTCGGGAGTGCATCTTCCTCCTGACAGCCTACCGCGATTAGAACTCTTCACGACCTTTCCCGCAAGTAACAACTGCATTTCCGTAACATCAAACCTTTCGGTTTCATTACTTTTATTAAAAGACGAAGGGAGAATCGCAGGAAGGTAAAAACCTCGTGACCAGCGACCAAGTGCTTCCAAGTAAAAGGTCTTTCCAGGCAGCACTGGTACAAATTCAGTAAATAACGAGGGGCCATTCTGCAGGGAGAAATATCGAAATATTACCGTTCCCTGGGATATTAGAGCCTCCCCTCCCCGCCCCCTGCATTTCGAAAACTTGACTTGTCTTCAAACAGACACCCACAGACCGAGACCGTATTTTGATCTCGGCAATTAACATGCGAAGCACGTGGGGGAATGAGGGAGGCGGCAATTACACACATATCCCGCCCCAGTGCGGACGAGGGCAAGGAGTTCATACGAGGTGGAGGGCCCAGGGTGCTGCATATCACCCCAGGGATGGTCTACCCGCAGAACACCCTCATTACCGCTAGGTTTCTCGTCTCTCTCTCTTTTTTTTTTTTTTTTTTTTTTTTTTTTAGTGAAGCATAGCCCAGTTGCGAGGGGTAGCGCTCGAAGAGCACTGGGAGGAGCCGGGAGACAGGGGGGGCCGCGCTCGGTGCGGGTCCTGCCCGCGGGCCCCGGCAGGTGCCGCTGTTCCCCCGCCGCCGGCACCGGGGCAGCGCACGGCGGGGCAGGTTCCGGAGCCCGCCGGGGGCATCTGGGCATGACACCGAGCGGCATCGGGTGGGGAAAGGCCCCACGGAGGAACTGGGTGTCGCTCCCACCTCCTTCCAACTTTTTTTCCCTACTCAGAAACGGGGTGCGTCCTGCCGAGGGGTTGCAAACGGGACGAGCAGTGGTGGTGACAAAAAATAAACTCCGCACCCACAGAGTGAATTTAAAATCAAAACAGATCAATGAAACAAATAAAGAAAAAATAACACCAAAAAAAAAAAAACACAAACAAAAAAACCCCCACCAAGTTCACTCCTTTCCACGGGAACATATTTATGGAAAAGAGCTTGCATTTAAACGGCGTCTTTATGATAAGTTATTTTTTACCTAGGTATAAGCTGGCTACGAAAATAAAAGCAGAAGGAACGTCGCGAAAATGGGGCTCATCCCCCTTCAGCCTGTGCTGAAAGCCAAAACCTCGCCGTGCGAGGAGATTCGACTGCTCTGTCTGCTCACCCCGGGCTGGAGCTGAAGTCGGCTTTGTGCATGCTTACCAAAACATGACAAACTCTGACGAAGAGTTTGCTGTACTTCAGACTCTGGAAACCTCAAGAGCTACAGATTATTTGAACTACGGATGAAAGTATCTCAGTTTTCACCCCCTCTTCTCCTGCCGCTTTTCTCTATTTCTGCCTCTGTACCTCTAATAAGGAGAGATGTACTTAACCAGAAAAGAAAAGGCATTGGCTTATTATTATTATTATTATTATTACTACTATTATTTTCAAAGGAGATGCACCATGAGGGTGTATTTGTACTGGAAGTTTTTAGGTAAGGAATTAGATTGTGTGCGTGTGTGTCTATGTATGTGTGTAGAGAGAAAGCTCTAAATTTATTTTTTTCCTTCCTGAAAAATAAATTAAATATTTTTCTCCACCAAATTTCAGTTACTTCACCTAATATTATCTGTTCTTCGTTCTACATGATTTCATTTCAATTTTAAGTCTTGTGGAGAAAAAAAAAAAGTAAGTAATTAAAAGAAAATACTTTAAATTACCTTCCACTATATCCACAGTACGTGCACCTCCACTTTTCTAAAAAATAATATTCACATGTACAGCCATATGCACTTCGGATTATTTACATATATGATAAGAAGACAAGGATGAAGACACAAGGGAGAAAATTTAAGTGTGACTTAATGAATACTGAGTTTAGAGGACCATAGTTATTAAAAGCACTGATGGGGGGAAAATAAAAAATAAAATAAAAAATAAAAAAAATGGAGGGGAAAAATAATGAGAAGATGTGGAAGTGGATTTATTTCACGTATTCATTTATGTTTAGTCTGACGCCCTATCTCATCTTTGTGGCTGCAGCGGCCAGCCCAAATCTGACCATCATTAGCGCTGTTATGTATTCATTTGTTTGTCTATCCTTGGACGAAAATTCAAGAAATCGCCGACTTCCATGGCATTTCGATCACCTGGGATGTTCGGTGCAGGCTCGTATTTTTAGCAGCAGAAGGCCGATATTAGGTAATGCTTTGGCGGGGGGGGGGTGGCAGGGGAGAACGGGGGCGGTATTTATTGTTCCCGTTCCCCCCATCATGTTCAAATGGTAAGTGTCTGGAAGGGGGTGGGGGACACGCAGCACTACCCACGCTGCTCGTGGAACAGGCAGCGGCGCAGGCAGGGCGGGGGAGGGGCGCACTGCCAACCCCTCCACCCCCGGGGCTTGTTCAAAAGCCGCCGCTGTGATTCGCGGGGCCGCCGTGCAGTAACGCGGGGCGAGGAGGGGAACCGGGGTGGGGGGGATGCTGCGAGGCGAACCCCCGGTAGCCCGGCCTGGGGGGTGCTCCGGGGGTGCAGGTGGCGGCTACCCCTGTCCCGTCGTGGCTGCGGCGAGGCCCGGGGTAAGGCACCGGGGAGGGGGCGGGGAGGGAGGGAACGATGCGGGATGCGCTGCGGGGACAGAAAAATGGACGGACCCGCTCTCACCTCCTCCCGTCTCCCCGCACACGCTAATGCGGGTCCACAGGGGAGCGACAACTGCACGAGCGCTAATTAAAAGGGACAGGGAACGGGGATGGTCAGGTTGCGTCCGCGGGCCGGGAGTCCCCGGCACCCACTGTTGATAAAAATGTGTAGAAATAGTACTTTCCTAATGAATTGTTGGTAGATGTGGTAAGAGTTAACCTAAGGGATGACCATGCCGATTTCCGTTTTGGGGTGGTATTATTTCTTTAAATGTATTACGTGTAGCCATCTGACCACTTTTTACTGGATAGCATATCCGCGTACGGCTCGTAAAACTGCAAGGAGAGGTAGCGCGGGGAATTCCGTAAGAGACGACAAAGAATTAAAGTATACTTGTGGTGAACCAGGCACTGAGTAACAGAGATGCTCACTACTTGTGGTGAAACAGGCACTGAGTAACACAGACACTCCACTCTTTATTTAAAAAAAAAAAAAAAAAAAAAAAAAAAAACCAAATATGCATGTCAGTCTTTCGAGAAGGCCAACTTTTGTCTGATAAGTCCATGCAGGTAAGTCATTCATAGTGTAATAATCATCTATGCATGCACTTGAGTTTGCTTTTTTGCCCTTTTTTTTTTTTTTTTTCCTTTAAGGGAATAAGGTTCTTGTTTAAAAACATAACATTCCTGGACTATAAAAACAGAGTAATATTCTGGGTTTAATCATATTTAAACTAGTCTTATTGCTACTCTTCTTTCTTTTTATTACCCGTTAAGGTAAATATGCTGACAATCTTTTTCATATAATTCAAGGCCTGTGGATTTTCAGGTAAAGCAGGCGTAAGGCTACAAGCATATGTTAAAATAACATCTAAAATCCACTTTTTCTATAAAGAATTATGTAGTGGACTTAAAGCTGCAAGTTAAAACGAGGTGTAATACATTTAATAATGCAACAATAAGACAGAAAATACAAAATGTCTTCCTCGGAGAAAGCTTTCCATACCTGGCTCTGCACATTTTAAGAGAAGATTTTGAAATAAACGATTCCTGAAACCAAGGCAGATATAAGTGCTTTTATGGGTCATAAGACAGTAATGAGATATTATAAGTCCATTTACACAGTCCCCCTTACACACATTATCTGTATTTCTTCATACCCTTAAACGGGCAGGAACGGACGTGATGGTGGTTTTAAAATTTGTTTCTTAATATGAACTTAATTAGGCAAACTCCCAGTTTCGAGAGAGCTGTGTGATAGCTGAGCAGGGCAATAAGATCCTCCTCCCTTCTTAAGGCCCAATAAGCATCTTGTGCACCTTGATTTGTAGTATTAGCACTGTACATAATCTGTAACCTTTTACAAACAGAAGCATGGAGGAATTGGATATAAAGACACACCGCAGAATCTCGCCAAAAACCGGGGGAATAGGTAGGGGAAAAAAAAAAAAAAAAAAAAAAAAGAAGGATATTTAAACAGATAGAAGAAAGAGGGCAAAGGAAAAGTGTTCGGGTGCGACTTTCAGTAAATTAAAAACAATGCAAATATACCTTTACATATGCATCAGTATTAAAAGTAACACGCTCTGGAGCCCACAGGAGCAGGAAGAGGATAAGAGAATGGCGCAGCGGTGGAGCCCTGCATTCACACTGGGGCCTCGGCCGCCCTCTCCCAGACAGGCTCTTCTCCGCTCAGCAGCCTTGCTCCGATCTCTCATTTCGAGGATGTTTGTTTTGTTGTGGGTGATGATGATGTTTGGAAGAAGAGGGAGGCCTGTTTTTTATTCCGTTAATTAAGATCTTCCGCAAATAGGGACGATTGCTCTCAGAATCCACGGTCTCTTCTCTGAGCAGGAGGATTTGCATATTCTATTTTTTTTTCAAATTTTTTATGCCCTAATTTCCTTGATGTATGTAAATGCAGGCGGACGTGCAGTATGCCTTCAGCTGACGTCAATGGACGTGACCTCTCCGCTAAACCTTGAACCTGAAGCGGGGATGGGGGACGCGGGGCAGAGGCGTAGCCGCTGAGATGGTCTGCGCTGTTCCGCGGGAGTGTAGGCTCCCGGCCGCGCTCTGCCCTATGAAATAGGCTCTGGCGGCAGCAACAGCAAGCAGCAACGCTGCCCGCCCCAACGCTTACTCCCAAAAGAAAGCCCACCTTCCCCCAGCACCACCGAGTCCCTCCTGCCTTTTCCCTCTCTCTCTCTTTTTTTTTTTTTTTTTTAATATATATATTAGAAATTATTTACAGCTTCTTTTCATCAGGAGACGTGCGGGAAATAGAAATTTCTAACCAATTTAAAACGATTGTAAGAAAATTTCTCTCCTGTCTCCTAAAAATATTGCATGACAGAGGAGGGTTGAGCCAGTGGAGGCGCAGCATCCATCCGGGCGCCGTTTCGCAGCGAACCGCGGGTACGGGACTCGGAGAGAGGGAGGGAGAGAGGGAGGGAAGGCGGGCGGCTGGAGGAGTGGGATGGCCGCAGTCTCAGTTTCAGCCCTCGCCTCTCTGTTCTGCAAGTCCAAGCCGCTCTCCCGGCTTTACCGTGATCTCCCCATCTCTCCACGGGGAGGAAGGGCGGTGTGAACGGAGAATCGATGAGTATAGGGTGGTAGCAGGTGGTGGGTGAGCGGTGTGTGCTCCTCTTTCCTTTCCACCTCTCCTTCTGGAGACTCTGCGGTGTATCGTGATGTTTGGAGAACATTCGGAACTTCAGCCGGCGAGGCGTCAGGATGAGAGGGGTGTTCTCTGTTAAGAACCGAATTTCTCTCCTTTTCTGCTGACTTTTATTAAGTCCTTTGTCAGCCTGCTGTGAGCCGTTCCACAGCCCCTCTGAGGACCTTGGCACAACCGTTCCTAGGGCTGCACCACCGCACACTCACTCACCGCTTCTCCTTTCAAGCATCTCAACTAAACTTCAATGCCGTCTCCAGGAAGCGGAAACGCGAGTGTTTTTCTGACCAGGGGAGCAGTAGCGACTTGTAATTTTTTTTTTTTTCCACTCAGAGATTCGTGCTAAATTCCTTAGGTTCTCTCAGGGCTGGCGTTTCAGTCCTCACAGAGATCTCTTTGTCCACCGGATCACCGGGGCTGTGCCGGCAGGGGATGCCGGGCTGCCCAGGACTGCGGTGGGGATTTTCCCGCAGAAACACTCCGCGGAAATCCGTGCCCGAAGACAGCGGAGCTCCTCCCCGCTCCGTGGAGCCTCGCACTCCGGGCGGGACACACATCTGACATCATATACATACACACACACATTTTTTAGATAGATAGATAGATAGATAGATAGATAGATAGATAGATAGATAATATATATGTAATTACATATAGACATGTCTGTGTGTGCGCATCTGTAGCTTGTATATATACATATATTTATTAATTTTTGAGCGTTGTACCTCCCCCCGCCCTCCCCTACCCCTCACAGCCCCCTCCCCACACACATACCCACACTCCTGCACTGCCCACGCGGGGCGTCGTGTAAATCCGACTCACAGTGGGGGGTCAGCACGACAACACCCCCTCCCCGTCACATCCCATACACCCCTCAGGCGGGGGCTGGGGTAGGAATGAGCCATCCTACCGCCCCCTCGCCCTGCACCATCTCCTTCTATCCCTCCTCCGTCCCTGCCTTCATCCCTTCCCCTCTGCACACCTCCCATTCCAGTGCACACCCAAACTTCTCCCCAGGCACCCCCTGCGCCCTAAAACCCAACCGGGGCCTTTACGTGCGTTTTCATGCTGTTTCCAAACCAGAGCGACAGATGAGAGTGGACAGAAGGATCCGGTAGCACTTTAGGACACTCTCTTTCCAGCTACGAGAGGTCACACTACAAGTTCGCATGACAACAGGGATGGGAAAAGGGTATTTTTTGTTAACAGAGTGATTGTTTTTCTAATTTTTTCTTTCTTTTTTCCTTTTTTTTTTTTTTTTTTTTTTCCTGCGCTTGACCGGCTGCTTGGTTTGGACAAAAGTTGTACAAAATGGCAGTGCCTTTCAAAAACAAGACTCGGATGAAACTCTTCTTCAGAAATTAATTGGAGGAAAACATCTTAGAAAACTCGACCTTTTTCTTCACTTTTTTTTTTTCCCCCTAAGTTTCCAAAGAAATGCGAACTTCCCTTCTTCTCTAGGAAGAGGTAGCCATTGCTCTTCTTCACACTAGACATTTCCAATTTGTTCCGTCCGTCAAAATGGGACTATGAGAGGTATTGGTGCAAATTCATTATCTCTGGCAATGCATAACCTATAATAGGAACTGAAAAAGACCGTGGCAATGGATGAACAATAGGGCTTCAGTTCATCAGCAACAAAAGCGTTGGGAAATTGCTTGAATTTCAGAGCACGTCCTCCTCAGCAGAGAGGGCTGGACTAGACCTTGGCCAACCCCCCCAAAAAACTTGCAGAGCCTCACATACAACAGTTCACTTTCTACTCTGGGGCATAGGAAGCATCGTGGAAAAAAAGAAAAAATATAATGGCAAGCCCAAGCCAACTTTCTGTGTTTCTCTCCCATTTTTCTGGATGGAACATTTCTAACTGGTTTAGAGTCATTGGAGCAAGGAAAACACCGTGGAGCTAAGCAGCATTTTTAAATAGGGATGGTGAGGCGGAAGACATGAATTTCTGGAAAATTGAAAGACCTTTCTCTGGTTCGAAGGGCTTTGGCTTTGGGGATCTTTGTTTGTCGCCGTTGGCTCAGCTTTACCTATATCTGAGGTCACATCTTTCCCTGATAAATGCGAAGAAATGTAAGTACCGCAGTGTTTATGTATGTGTGTCGGTGTCCTCAATTCCAGGCAATATTTGGCATGCTGAGCCCCGGGCAGATAGAGGTCTCCCGGCTCCCTGTGAGTCCGTGGAGGCCACCTCTTGCTGGGTAGACCGAGAGGGTCTCCCCAGCGGAGCTCTGGCCACTTCCTCTCGCTCATGGAGAGACATTTGATTAACAAGGCAGGGGTTATGACTGGACACGGCGGCTTATGCCGGTGAGACGATTTGTGCGTCTGAAGCTAAACCTGTTGGTCGTGGAGCTGTATTTGGTCACGGGAAATGTTGATTATCCAGCAGACCACCATCAGTTGCCGAGCTGTGGCTTCTGAGAGAGCCCTTTTTTTGCAGTGCCTGGGTGCCCTCGGAAAGTGTGCAGGTGTGCAGGCACAGGAACAGACAGTCACAGAGCTGAAGTATAGCAGCTAACTCCAAAGGCCTTTACATAGCCGAGATTAAAAAACTCAAACAAATAACAACAACACAAAAAAAAAAAAAAAAAAAAGAAAAAACATAAAGGAGGGAGGGAAATGGGGAGGGGAAAAAAAAAAGAAGGAAGGGGAAAGATAGAAGTCAGAGGCATATCTTGCAGCTGGTCGAGGTGCATGGGATTGCTTGCAGCAGTTTGTTCATCTGGCGTCTCGCACGTGTGAATCACTAGGAACAAGCAGCCATCACTTCCAGGGTTCTCCAAATCCACCCCAGCCAAAAAGGCTCGGCTCAGGAGTGTACCTGGCAGAAGGGTGTCAGGGATAGGGCAGTTCTGCCAGAGTTCGGGGAGGGCTAATTAAGTGCGGCCCGACCACTCACCACGGCCCAGGAGTGTCCCCATGCATCTTTCTATCCACTAAAAAAGTGGTGGAAATCCTTCAGCAACCCCGGTCCACAGCAGTCCATGGGATGGGTGAAACGGCTTCATTGTAATATCCAAGAACACTGTTGTTCCCTGGGAAATAAGACTTTTTTTTTTTTTTTTTTTTTTTTTTTTTTTTTTTCCCCGTCTGAGGTTGCTGTAATGGATATAATGCAATGAAAGCGAACAGCTGAAGTTGTATTTATTTACTCCAGTGGCCCTTGATAAGCTTTCGGGGCTGTAAATAGAGACCATGCCTTCCTGGTAATTCAGGTTTCAGGACAGCATTCAGGTCTGGAAGAGCTGGGAAATCCAGTGGGGAAATGCTGGCTTAGTATGTTTTGCATGTTTTGAACTGAAGGCTAGGTGGAGCCTCCATCCTTTATTAAGTAACTGGCAGCTTACAGTATGCAAATCATAGATATGCCTCTATAATTTTGGTCACTTCTATTCAGCAGTCCAAATAATATTTTTAGCCTTTTCTTTTTAAGCATAATTCTCCAGAAATAACAACAAAATTTTTAAAAAAGTATATTATATTATTCATAGGATTTCCTGTAAATATTGATTACTATATTTAACCCTGCAGATACAGGAGGACATCACTCGTACCTGTTTTCTGTCATATTAAATCATCTGCAGGAAATATGCCTAGTTATTTCCCCATTTAGTCTAGAGTCAAACGTTTTAGTGATTTATCTAATAATCTCAGAAGTTAATATACTCAGTGCCTTCTAAACACATAGGTTTATCCATTCTCATGTACTCCTGGAACAAGAATCAAACACTGAAAGTGTTTAATTTATGATCCTTTGGTGGTTTTTTTTGAGGGGGAGGGTACTATTTTTCAGGTTTAGGCAACACAGACAGACCACAGGTAGTGAAATCACGACAAGAAACAGTAATTTGTTTATTTGTTTAATAAAAGTCAGACAACGACATGCATCACCTACAGATATGAATATATGTTCTTTAACAGCACATAGTGTTTCCATGTGTAATCACTGACTGTGTGCAGGTTTAATATTATTTTTTTTTCTGAGGCTGAATTCTTGATACTTTTTTTTTTTTTAGTTAGTAATTTGGATTTGTAGTAGATATCCCTTTGCATACTATAGGTTTAACATAATGGAAGTGTAGTCTGTGGTTGTCTGTCAAATGAAATAGTGATCACAAAAGAAAAAATGAGGCACCATTATTGGAAGGTGAGACAATCCAATAACTTACCTGGCTGGGAGGAAAAGGATGCTGCTCTACAGGGAGAGATGGCCTGGGTTGCACTGGCATGCCATGGTGGTTTAACTCTACATGAATTCTGTCATAATTTAGTGTGAAAATGGAATTTATGTAACACTACACCCTCTTAGGTACCTCACAGCAGCTTAATGGGGATTCCTGTGTGTCTTACCCACAGAAGGTAGGGATGCTGGAGATAGGATGAGTATCTGATTGCAATAATTAAAGAATCATAAGCATTCCTCTTTAAAGTCAATAGATACTGTTTATCCTTAAGAAATCCATGCAGGATATTCCTTCTTTATGTCACAGCCATCTGGAGACCTATAAAAAGATTAGAAAGCAAGCATGGCAATCACATAGTAATCTACAGGCCATCAGTGGGAATTTATTAGGCAACTAGGAGGAAAAAGTCAGTGTTTGTATTTCATGTCTTCCAGTAGGCTTCTACAGTTTCTACAGTGACTTCAGAATAAATAAGTTTTATTCAGTTATGTAAACTGGAAGAGAGCAGGCTGTGTTAACTACTGCTTTTGACAATGCAGGTGATGTTTTGGGTAGAATTTTCAGAACTGTGCATTGCTTAAACTTTCCACATACTAGGCAACACTGAAATCTTGGAAATGTGCTTTACAACTGCTGCAAACATTTTTGTAATATTCAGAATAAGCAAATACTTAATGGACACATGACGATTTTAAGGCCTTACTAAGTGTATGAGAACTAGGAAATGTAATCGGTAATATGGCTAATGAACAGCTACATCATTGGTTCTTTTGACATAATCAATGAGTAATCAACAAAAACTGTGTATTGAAGTTACTTCCCAAGTCCGAGTGTGAGATGGTTGTGAGAGCAGAGCTTGATGTTTTGAAGGTGCATCTTTGAAAAATACCTATTTGTAATAATATACCTTACATTTAACTGTATATCCAGTGACACATGACATCTGGTGACATGCTTGTATTAACATGTACATATCCATTTGTGTTAATATGGTTATATAGAGATATGTACATATACACCTGTGTATGTACATATACACCTAGATAAGCATACACGCACACACATACATGAGGATCACTTGAATTTCCATACCTCTGACTGAAAGAATTTAATCCATAAGCTCATAAGCCTGTCGTCATAAGTCAACACATGCTTGATCACCAGCACTACTGCCCCTAGCTATTGCCATAAAAACCACATCTTTCTACCTGTCTGCCAATTCAGAAAAACCCATTAGAATTTTACATAATATCAAGGTGATCATGTGCCTCTGGACGTATCAGATGTCTGATTCAGTTGCCCCTGTTGTGCCTGAACAGCCTGAAAGGTAATGAAGAAGCTCAGTAACTCATAATGCAGCATTATAAGTATTCTAACCATTCGGTGTGAGTCTCTGAATTTTCCACAAAGAACACTGGCACAATGAGCTCTCATGTCTCTCAGGTAAAAAGCACTGATGGCAAAAAAGTAGTCTATAGGAGGATAAACAATATGTGTTTAAAAAAAGAAATGCTCAATTTCAAGGGCTTACAATCTGTAAGGAGAAATAAATTAGCAATATTTCTTCAGTATTCAAGACTTAGCAGACTGGCAGATTAGCAGTGTCTATGTGCTGCTTCTTGGTGGCAGTATTAATTTTTGGAAGTGTCTGACAAAGGAGATTGTTTCCTTGTTTTCATGTTTTTGTAATTATGATAAAAATTTGGGCTGGTTAGTTGATATTTTACAGTATAACTATGTGTATCTGCATATACATTTTATCTCAAACACATACACAGACATGTTCCTAGACTGACATATGTACACATGGCTCCCCTGCATACACATAAGCACACATTTCCTTTATCATAAAAGCAAGCTCTGCAGCCAACACAGAGCAACAACAACTTCAGTTTGACTCCATGCATTTAAAAAATTCCACCTAAAAAATAGTAACCTAGGCAAACACAGGTTAATTTACAAACAAATGCATTTAAATGCAGTATAGCATATTGACTGTGATTGTGAGGGAACATAGTGCATAATATGCTGTGTTTTATTTTGCACCTTAGAAGAGGAGTAGCAGCATGAATTTTAACTGGTTATTCCTTTAGGAGTTCTGAGCAGTTCATAGTATGTGTGTGTGCTGAATTTTTTGGTGTATGTCTTATAATGACCACAGCACACAGTAGCTGTTGAAGTGCATTTTTTAATTTCTACAGAAAATATGGTAGATCTCAGAATGTTCATTACTCACATATACTCAGGAGGCCTTTAATGTTCTATGCAAATTATATTGTTAAATAATTCAAAGTGTACTGTTCTTTTTGGAGAGTGGGGGAGGGGGAACTGAGAGAATTAAATCCTAAAACTGCACGTAACGCATCCCAACAGTTTAGACTTGCCTTCATTGGTTCCACGAGTAACATCACCATGCATTTCTTCGCTCTAGGTACAAGGTTAATAAAAATAAACGATAAATCAGCGTTTTTATTAAGCCAGATGATGCATGGCCTTAAACAAATGTTGCTGCAACGTTCACCTGTGCTGCATTCTAACACAGACACAGAGAAACTCTCAAGCTGGGAGGGAGGGGGGGAGGGAAGAAGGGTGGAGAGGTGGAATAGATGCCACAGAATACACTGAACCTGCTGCTCTCAGCTTCCCCCACGGGCAGACAGGGGAAAACGCCTTGGACCGTCCTGATGCGAAGCTCAACAGAGATGTGGAGTCAAAAAAAACCCAAAACACAAAAACACCAACCAAACAAACCAAAACCCGCCAACCAACCAACCAAACCAACCCCAAACCAAAACAAAACAAGAGGAGAAAACCACACAAACCCCTCAAACAAACAAATATACAAAAAAACCCCAGAAACCCAAAAAGCCAACCAAAAAAAAAAAA